TTCGAAGCATACTGTGTAGAACAACAGGATCTCTAGCTGTTTAGCGCATCAGTGAAGCATATACAACCGTAGTGACGCTGTCTATTTGAGTGACAATCATCGGCAATGTCGGTAAGTGATATTTCTTTGCATATAATTATGCAGTACAGTTTAATGACACCTGATGGTAAATTTTTTATTTGAAAGTTATAAGTATTTTGGCTAAGCCCCACATTAAACTTCTTTTTGTCTTTTAGTTTACCGGGAACTACGCACAATACAGTGGATACGGAGGAATGCCTCCTGCAGCTGGTCTTCCACCTATGGTTAGCCCAAAACAAGACTATCTGTCTGAATTTTTTAGTACAGGCGAAAGTATCGATGAATTCCACCCTCGGACTCTGTGAGTATTTCGTAATAGTTAGTCTCGTAATTTTCATGTGCTGTATTTGTTGAGTTCGAAATTTGATTATTATTCACTCTTTGTTGATCGTGCGTATCTAACTCTTCACTAAGGTAGGCCTAGGTTTTTAAGCGCATATTTGTACTGTTTAATTTACCTTCGTTGTCAGTGACTGTTCTTGTTTGTTGTTTGACTTTGCTTAAAATTAAGATTTGAATCGAATATGACAGTTATGAAATAATTAATTGTTATTTTGGCATTTGGGGCTCCTCGTTGCTCTTTCTACAGTTCACAGCAGTTGTTTGCAGCAGCGCAGTGTTCTTTACTTTTCCATAAGTACGCTTTTCTTTAAATTTCCATAGCTTTTTACAAAATCAGCCAGAATCATGAACATTGTTTGATACTGTTTGATCATGAGTATTGTTTGATACATACTTAAGCGATACAACTTGATGCATATTGTAACCCTATAACATGTTAGCCTCAGTATGAGTGTGCTTTCTACAGGTCCAGTTTTTTGAATCTGTATCCGAGTTTCCTTTGTTTTCTATTCTAGCAATTTATGCCATCACATTCGCCACTCCAACGTTTAATATATTGTGTAAAAAGACAGTTTAGACAGTTTTCAGCAATTTGCTTGGCTTGCCCTAATAATATTCAAGATTTCTATATGATAGAATGCGTAAAAAATTTCTTCCTGTGTTTAACAGTCGTTTGCGAATTTTGTGTACTTATTTTCATGCTCATTTCCTTCGCGCATGCTGTTTTTAAAATTAGTATTCATTTAATGAATCCATTTCTTTACTTTGTATTTGGGGAATTTTTTTAGTACTTTTGAATTTGATTAATGCAGTATTTTATTTAAGAAATGAGCGATGAGTTAATTGGTAAAGAATCACCCACATGGAAAGTCAGTCTAGATGGATCGAAAGAGATGAGACTAAGTTTTCGTTCCATGGTTTCGGTTTGCAGATGCATGCGTTCAGCAAGCTACCGTCGATATCATATAGTTAATGTTCATACTTCAGTTATTCCATTTGGTTCAGTCTGGCAGCGGCACTGAAGTAGTTCAGGTTTACCGAGTTAGGTCATCACCATTGAATGCGCTTCGCTCCAAGTTGTTGCAGGTATCACATGCCAACTGAGTGGTTGATTCAGCAGAGAATTGATGGCACCATTTTAGATGCGAGCAGGATAAAATATTTAAAGATTCTTAGATGCGACTTAGAATATGGCTGTAATTATGCACTGTTGCTATTTCCAGAGCATAAGTAGTGCGATTCTTACGTATGTCTATGCCTGTGTAACGCACTGTACATCGCTTTGTTTATACTTGGTATTTAACAAAGTAAATTCGTTAACTTGATACTATACTATACTTATTCTAAGTATGTAAATCTGAAATTCTTCGAAAGCTAAAAATACACGTGTGTAAAGTGGTTACATTCTCTGATTTACGCACATGTAGGAATATGCAATTGGTTTGCGCACGTGGTAAAAACGAGTATTTCGCATCTTTAATCTACACGTAGTTTACAACGAATACGCTGCGTGATTTTTCTATATTGATAATAACATTTTGCTGTCCCATTCACACTAAGTTTATTCCGCGATATGTCGGTAAACATGCTGTAAGTTGTACTGTATGTATGAACTATAAATAAATACGAAGTAGTGTTACTGTTGTACTGTAAAAGAGTATCATTACGTATATATTATTTAATGAATGGCTGTAGTTGCGAGGCGAATAGCGCCGAAGGTCAGGGTGACGTGAGGGGGAGGGGAAGAGGGGATTGTGGTGTTGTTGTTGTCATCGTCAGCTGTGGTATGAGGCTCACAGAAACAGTGCCAAGGTTAATGATGCCTGACGCTTTCGATTCCAGAGCGATTTAGGCGATGTTGGTCATTTTCCTTCTGCAAGGGTCATGTTCCTCGTTGCAAGCAAATCTGCCTTTATTCGCTCCAGTACTGTGATGAATGTTCTCTTGTCATAGACTTTGTGGCCTGTCATAAACCCGAAATCGATGGTTGTCTAAAACAGATCTAAAGAACTTCTGTAAGGAATTATAGTCTTACTTTTGACCTTCACAATGTGTTTTTATGCCTTACTTATTTTTCTTGCTTCTTGTCAGCTCAACTTAGGCAACTTCTTTCACCTCTCTCAATTTGCCATCTTAATTTGTTATTACCAGTGGATTCCCCAGACTTCAGTATATTCATATAGAACCTTAATTCCACCGCTTTGCATCCATGTTTTTGATCAGTACAGTCAACTTTTTGTTTTCCAGTCGAGATATAGCGTGCATAAACCGGTGCGAGTGATATCTAGAAGTTCGAGGATTCAAGCATGTGTGCAAATTTTCACTCTGCCCCATGTAGGTTGAGAGTGATGTAGGTAAACAAACGCGGACTTTGGTTAATTTAAAAACTATTGTTCATCAAAAATTGAAGCTTAATCTTTTATACCTGCGTCAAGTTCAGAATGGTAAAGATCCGTTAAGGGGTGACACGCATGCTAACTTTCGCTACATATGTAATTCAAAACATTGAAGGATATGTACATCGTAAATCTATTATTCTATGTCATTCCGTAAATTCTTCCACCTTTGATCATGTCATGTATGCAGAATATTCAGAGGCCATAACTGTTCTTAAGTAAAAACGTGTGCGAGTTGTTGTGCATATCATGTTTAGCAGTGCGTTTTCCTGATCTGTATAGACGACTAGAAATAACTAAGAATTGACAAGAAGTTTCCAATCGGCGACAAGCCGAAAGAAACTTTATGAGTATTGCCGGCGACCCAGCAATGCATTTCGTATGTGAATAACTAATAATTATGTTATGCTCTTAACTGAATATTTTTGTCGATGTGATGTACGACTGTGGTTTAATTTTAGGTATGTGGGAAACTTGGATGCGTCTATTTCTGAAGAATTTCTGGTCTCTTTGTTCAATCAAATAGGTTCCGTTAATAAATGTAAAATCATCCATGAGGTAAGTAGCTCGTTAGAAGCTGTTATTTTTTCTCCTTATGGTAATGATGGCTTAACGTAGTGTTCATATTCCGCTCAAGAATTAAGGGCTAAAAACTTTATTCATACTCGTATTGGATTCATGTATTACAGCTTGTGCACCAATTGTTTGATGTTGAAACTTGATTGATTGTTTTTAAGTAGTTTTTGATGCTAAAGAAACGAGTAGAACGGAACCAAGCTACTTTGTAGTGAATTGCAGACA